CTGCTAGACACAACCATCCAATGAATAATTAAGCTCCATTGTGAATTGACTTATCCTTTCAAGGCGTAATAGTAGGTTACACAAGAATATCTTCATTCAACTGCCTTATAGTAAATAATCTCTATATGCTTTTCTCTATAGAAACAACTGACTTTCATAAATATTAAATGGGTGTGACAAAACTTGACAGCTTATCTTTTATTTATACAGCAGAGATCAATCAATCAATGAGAAATCGATAGACAGGAGCTGACAACATTGAACATCATTTTATGAATTATACATATAGCCTGTAATACGTGACTTCAATCAATGCATTAACATTGAGATATAGACTTATAAATATTGATGTCTCCTTTCAGCGGGCTTTTATCCACATTTTCAATTAGTTTGGGTTTATCGACCTTTTAACGGCCCTACGCAGATGCGCTACTTAAGAGCTCATTGATTGACATGGGTAGTAAGACACCCCACACATCAATCAGTAATACCTGTTAGCCCCATCAAAGTGACCGTAAAACCCGACAGCTGTCTCGCTTGTTTGAGGTCGACCTCATAAGGAATGTACATGGTTTTGATTTATCTCTGAGAGCTAAATCAATTCAAAACATATGAATTCTGGGGAGTCACATATGCCATTAAACGATTTCACTATGACTGATACCAATCAGATCACATATTGTATCGTGATCTGAGTAATTTCGTTTTCTAAAGGAAACACTGATGATATTCCACCTCGTTGAATTGTTTAAATTAAAAACCTTCAAGTCATTTGTAAATTGTGAATTTGGAAATGCTCCAAAGACCAAGATTAGCCTGATTGTTTGAGTAATGAATACATTTCAAGTGGTGGTTTGCAGGGACTTGATTGGTTATGGGATTCATAACGAGGTGACATCAGTTAGAGAACAATTGGAAAAAGTGGACAGCTATTTAGTCCTGGATTACGGCCCCTCAGCAAAGATTGCCCACTGCCAGGATTCGAACCCAACACCTTCCTGTTACAAGGCGAGCTAGCTCGCATACCATTCAGCCACTGAGACCCGACCCAATAGACCATGAATTCCAACTTCTGCCAATTCGTCAGATATATATATTTACCGCAACTGTCAGCCAGTGTTATACACGAGTAATCATCCTGTTGCCTGACTTTTTGAATTCTCACTACAACCTCAGTTATCTTTCTGTATAGTGCCAGTCCAGTACTCTTAGGTTTACCGATGGTTCTCTGCCAAACGAATTGCAGTTATTGTTAAATTGTGGCAGGGAGTATTCACTGATATATATTCCTGAAAGATATTTGAATGAGTTTGTTATTCTTCCAAATAGGTAGGAGGGTAAGAAAAGGTGTCTCACAGTCTATTAAGCAGGCACCTTCCTATAATCAGTCAACCTTTTCTACTACTTTGGAACTATTCATCTGTACATGGCACGTCTCGAATCAGCTTTTGGGAAGATGAGATGATGAGATGAATGTCATATCATTTGAATCATTGCGTTGATATGCAACGGTCGGTATTTTCCAGCAATAGTTACCCAGTGTTACTGATAATTAATTTTTACGATATTGATCACGGATTGATATCAGTTAGAGAACCACTGAAAACCAGCCACAGGGAGTACTGGACAGTTGTTTGGTCAATCCTAGTTTGGGAATCATCGGCATTACGCCAACCCAGGACCTACCGGTTACGAGGCAAGCTAGCTCATATACCATTCAGTCACTGGGACCCGATTCAATGGCCAGTCAGTGCATGAATTCTAACTTCTACCGATTCGTGCTCTAGCGTGGATTGCAAACTAAACTATAGAAAATTAATCTAATGCTCGCTAGTGACTTGCTACAGGATGGAGTTTCCTGGAGTTCAAGTGAGACGTCGTGACCAGTGTTGTCCATACAGATGTCATGTGTGAGGATAGATGTCCCACCAACGACATTGATTGGGGTCGCGCTAAATTACGAATTGGTAGAAGTTAGAATTCATGCACTGGCTGGCCAATGAATCGAGTCCCAGTGGCTGAATTATATACGAGCTAGCTTGCTTTGGAATCGGAAGGTCCTTTGTTTGCACCCCCTGTGGGGTGGGTGCGTACTGTCGATGATTCCCAAACTAGCATGGAGGAAACAGCTGTCCAGTACTCCCTGTGGCTGGTTTTCAATGGCTCTCTAACTGATATCAATCCATGATCAACTCGTAGAATAATAATAATATTTTTGCTTTATTCCAAAAACAGTATTATTGATACAGCAAGGAATTTTCAGCATTCAGTACGACATTACATCTAATTTACTCAAAAACGACAACAACAAACAAAAAAAATAGATAAACGGAATAATTAATACATAATAATGATAACAAAACGTTTTTATAGGAGCTATGTAGCAATTACAGTATAGGATAAGGAGAAAAATATAAAATTATAGTAATAATAGTAATAACAACTAAAATAAAAATAGCAAAGTTATAATTAAACGATAGAAAGGGTGACACCATAGAATTACAGAAAGATGAACAATGAAAGGGTCGATTCACTATGCTAATTACATAGTAACTTATATGTTTCACGTCTAACAGAGTCTTCATCACATAAAATACGGGCTAAATACGGTATTGTAGAATTTTTGTACTTAATGGTACGAGCATATAATTTCTCATATTGACTTCTCATTCTACCTGATGAGATACAAGGGGATAGTTGTGAATAAAGAGGGTGCAGAAGGTCTGACAGTACGGCCTTTGCCCAATTTGTACAGAAATTTACGTGTCTCTCGACTATAGTATTGGCGAGCTCACGCAGTGGCAAACCACAAGCCCTATTCACAGCACTTAATACCCTTCGTAATATGACATAGTCTTTTTTAAGAAGCCCAGGAAAGATTAATGGAGAACAATAGAGTACAATAGGTAAAATACAGGAGTTTAAAAATTGCAGAACTAAAGGTTGGTTGATACCTTGTTGTCTTAACTTTTTAATGTAGAAGGTAAGACAAAACATTTTCTTAGAGATGAATAAAACGTGGGATGACCATGAAAGGTCAGAGGAAAGAACTAATCCAAGGTATTTAATGCTTGACTTGGTTTCAATTTCTGTGCCATCTATGCTACAGGCATCATGGGAACTAACTAGTTCATGTATGTCACGTCGATGCTGAGAAGCAAAACTAATCCTTACAAACCAACTATGATAATTAATTATCCTCATATCCAACTTCATAGACCTCGTCTGTCACCACTTCCGGTAGGAATTCACAGAAACTTGTCTTTAAGTTACCAGTTACTTTATCTTGCAGTAGTCTATATAGAATGCATTGAGCAGAACCTTCTGGTTACAAGGCGAGCTCTGAACCAGAAGGTCCCGGTTTCGAACCCCGGTGGCTGCTTACTGATGAAGAGTCCCAAACCAGAACGAAACAGATGTCCAGTACCCCCTGATTTTCCAATGGTTCTTTAACCGATGTCAGCTCATGATGAAATCCTCCAACCAAAGAAACTGACATAGTTGAAATATTATCTTGTTATTTTGAAGAGATGTGGTCGCTAACCTCGTGCTCAATTGCCCCTCTTTTCCGGGCCTGCTATCGTCTAGAATTCTAGGTGAGATTTAGGTGTCAGGGAATAAAACTTCGAATCACGTTCTTGGCCGGCAGCCATACTACTCCTAAACCACCAGCAGAAAAGCAGAGTGCGTCGGCTAAACAATGAAATCTTATTTTCGTGAAATTAACGATTTTTGTAATTACTAATGTCCCCTTAAATTTCAAAATAAGAATTCATGCAATCTGTATATCATGTGTAAAGTGTGTATCCAATATTTTTTGTATGTATGTGAAACTGATCATATTTTTCATTAGAAATATACTTTCTTGGTGAAGTTTGCGAACACACACAAGCGAACTCACTCTGACATCGCGCCGAAGATCCAAGAAAACCTTTGGATGCTGTGGATCTGTCGAATAACAACAATAGCAATAAGTTTGTGGAATAGTGTTTATCATAAATGAATTTAGTGAATGGTAACTAGCAGTAGAGTCTATATTGCTTATTTTGTCCTATTTTTGACTCGTCAGACAGATGTGCCCGTGATCCCCACTGGTTGTTGGTACTCCCAGAACCTATTGTTTCAAAATTCCAAGTGTTATCCAGTAGACAACTTGGTCCACGAGGGATTTTGAGACGATGGTTACGGGGTTACAGTCTCACTTACTTAGAAGTGCAGGCACATCCATCCAACCAGTCCTAAGTGAAACAAAATACGCATCCTGGATTCCACTGCTTATTATTATTATTACCGAATTACATCATGCCAATCTCTAGAAATCGTCGAAGCATCTGTACTAGGAGCCAAAATGTTAACAGAGGTTGAACATTTCGGTCTAATATAAACAATGAACACTAAATCGATGAACTCAGCCAAAACTTATGCACGACGTAAAGGAATTCATGGCCAGGAACTAAGCGCAAGTGAATATGATCGTTCTGATGTTCTGTTTCAATGTAAACTGAGAAAAATAACTGAATGAATGCATCAACGCAAAACATTATCCATACATAGAAGATCTGTTGAATAAGATCTTTAAGATTGGCGCATATTCACAAAGTTTCAAAGCATAAATCTTTTCAAGATTCCAGATGCATCATTTCTATGACAAACAACAACTATAAAACCCAAGTCAAGGATGATTTCCTGTAGATAGACACCTGATATCTTACAGAAACTATATTCATTACAGTACTCCTAAAGGTCAGTCTAAGCCTGGATAGCTTGGTAGTAAGGTCTCTGAATGCAGTACTTACTGACAGGGAATCAGAATTTTGAGGGTTTGCATATATGCCTTGCTGATAAGTGCAGATGAGCACAGAATTAAGGTCCAGGGCTTTGTTCTAATCACCTCCAAACATCTAATATTATTTGTGTATATATGACTTTGCTGTAACAATCCTCCTTATGTCCCTCTCATTCTATTTTTCCTTTCTGAAATCCTGTTTTTTATCTTCTAGTGAACCTAGTGTCTTGATCACTCCGTTTGCTCAAATTCTAGCCATTTTAAATCGTGCAAGAGACTTCCTTTCCAGTTATACTTCAAGGTGAGTTTTTAAGAAATGCCATGCATTTGTCTTATTTTTTTCAGTCGTGTTGATTATTGGTAATTATTTTATCATTTTAGACTGTAGAATTTGTGGTTATTTGAATTCATTTCACTTGATAGATATCACTGTGAATATACAGCAGTTAGAGATCTGTGATAGCCAAAGAGAACTATACATCTGTTTCGTTCTGATTTGGGACTCTTCAGCACTGCTGAAGATTAGACCGGGGAACCTCACATTATAGGACCAAGCTCGGTGGCTATTCATTTTTGACTTTTTCAGTTCTTGACATTGTGGACAGCACTGGTGATGACTTCTGACTACAGTTTCAAGACGTCTGTCCAGTAGCCATCAACAGGTCATCATTGTCAAGATGAAATGAATACTGATCGATGGTATTGATTGAGGATGGCGCTGTATCACGAATCTAAAAAGTTAGAATCCACCGGTCATTGAATCCTGAACAAAGTGGTTAGATGCTCAACGAGCTCGGTTTTGTAATTTCAAGTTCCTGGGTCGTGGGTGATTACTGATGAAGAGTCGCAAACTGGAACGAAAGGATTTGTTTTCATGGATCTGTAACTGATATTGTTTCATGACGAAATCTAACAAATGAAGCATCATTTCAGGTTATGAACGGATGAACGATGCAAATAAGTGCTGATAAAGCTGTCTAGTCGGATAAGAAAACGTTTATGACGAAAAATATCAGAGCTTGGAAAACAGCAGCAATTAGAAAACTATAAAGAAGAAAAATAGCGATGAATTTCAGTCAACAGAATACCTAAATTTGTATTAAAACGATCACAAATGAAAAGTTAATAATCAGAATAAGACAGTCAGTTAAAGGGTGCTTACTGATATGTGCAATTGTGAACACATACATCTATCGGTCTAGACTAAATACACAAACTGAAATGGCTGTACCTTGGTGAGGGGTACTTATAATCAGATATAAGTAGTATATCAACGAGTTCAGAAAAGCAATACTGGAAAAAACAGTCGAAGAACAGAACTGTGAGAAAAACGTTACAAACACTGGGCAAAACACAACAAGCTATCGAATGCGGTGATATCTGACCAATGTGCAAAAGATATGCAAATAAAAGATTGGAGATATAGTATACCAAAATAATGTACCTACAATCAGCCATCGGTCATCAACGGCCATTCATACCTTGCAGTACGAGCTTATGTGTTCGTATTTGCAGTTTTTGATCCTCGCCTGGTTAACTAGCTCCCCAGTTATCCAGCAGGTCCCAAGGACAACTTAGGCCTGTGCAAGAACTGACTAGCGTGGAATAATGCTCTTGTTCACGCCAAGTAAAATACTAGGTCGCACCATCCTGGAGAGAGTAAAGGATGCAATAGGTATAGAACTCCACCCGGAACAAGCTAGATTCAGGAAAGGCAAATCATGTGCTGATCAAATCGCTACTCTACGCATCGTCATCGAACACAGCCTAGAATAGAATGGCAATCAAACCTCTACCCCAACTTCATTGACTTCGAAAAGACATTCGACAGACAACGTTGATACTATGACGTACCTCAAGTCTTTGTCAACATCATTCAACAGCTGGCTATATGACAGTACCACGTGTCAAGTGATCCACAACCGAAAACTCAGAGAGGCATTCGAAGTACATACAGGAGTAAGATAAATCTGGCTGCCTATTACCACCGATGATATTCTTAATTGTGTTCGACTAGATTATGTGTCAGACTGTGCTTTGGGGGCGAAGAGTCAAGAACACTCTGGACAACCAATAAGAAGACTTTAGAAGATCTGAATTCCGCAGATGATATATGTCTAATATCACACAAACTCGAAGACTTACAGACAGGCGAAAACCAGCAGACTGGCTGAAGAGGCGAGACAGACAGTGAAGACAGGACTCCAAGTGAGCACAGAGAAGACGGGGGTGATGAAGGTAACCAACCAACAGCAACAATAGCAAAAACCAGCACCAGTCACAATCAACGAGAGAGATTTGAAAGAGGTTACTTCCTCCCTTCATTTATCTGGGAAGCATCGTTTCAACCAAAGCCAGCCAGTCAGATTTGGAAAGGCAAGGTACGCCTTCTTCAACCTGAAACCATCTGATAAATCTTCCGCACTCAGCACAAGGAACAAGATTCGCATTTTTAACACCAATGTCAAGTCTGTCAGTGCTTCTATATAGGTCAAAAACTTGACCAGTGTGTCACAAAAAGGATTTTCAACAGGCTACTGCAGACTTATATCAATAGCTGCCCACTTTGCTGGCTCCATACTGAAGATAAAATGGCCGACTAGCCAGAAAGAATGAGCAACAAGAAACTCTGACTGGGAACAAACCAACAAACAAGAGCCGATCGCTCAACAAATGTATAAGAGAAAGTGGAGATGGATAGGGCATACATTGAGGAGACCGCCAAATGACATCGCACGCCAGGCTATCACTCGAGTGGAATCCAAATGGGAAGTGACGAGTGGGTCGTCAGTACGAGGGTGACATGGAGACCGTGCTAGTTGGAAGAGATGAGAGAGTTTGGCCAACCGTGGACCCAACTGAAGAGGACGGTATAAAACAGAACAAAGTGGAGATGTGTTGTTGAAGTCCTATGTTCCACTCGGAACGCAAGGGAACAATAACTACTTGTTGCGTTTCAAATGGAATATAAGTCTGTCGGCCTTAAGTCTTAGCAGGAGCGGCTTTGTTTCCTTTGAGGTGGCTGTTGCTAGCCTCTTTTCCAAGACTACTTCAGTTCAGGAGATATTTAGGAGTGTATCAGCCGGAGGCCGAATCTGAAGCATTTTCATCGCTGGTGAGCATTCCATCATTCAGTCAACAACTCCGAGTTAACTCTTATGACAGTAAGATAGGTGAACAGTAATAAGCAATAAATGATTAGTAGTCAAAATTCTTAAGCTTTTAAAAAATGATATACGCCCAGTGTTTATAAATATCTCCTCTAATGACTATTACTCATAACCATATTGACTTCACACTAGAATCAGTTACAGATGACTGATTGGTATTTAAGTAGCCCAACTCAAATAAAGTTTAACGCTTTAAAGAGGTACTTATCATGCTCTACTATACTCATCTCGAGGACTTTACCAGTAAACTGTTCACGTTCAGGCAGACCCTTATGCGGAACTGATTATCTTACATTTGAACTTCATAAGCACTAAACTCGTCTTTTAAACTGGCGCCGACTAACAGAGAAGCTAATTCCATACCTTCCAGCTGACTAATTCTTACCATATAAAGACGCATTAATTTGGGCCGCAACCTTCTATCACTGAGCTTAGCGAAGGTATTACATACTAGATTCGCAGATTCTGACCATTACACATAGGTAAACGGCCAGGCAAGTTACCATGAGACAACCAATTCGTATACCACTAGTTGCTAATTCAAGCAATCTACTAACCCACATTTAACAGTTACCATCAATTCCTCCTTTATAGGAGAATATGTTGCACAGAGGCACTTTTCACTTCAAAATAAATAATAATTCATTTATGTATGATAACTAGGGAGTTTCTACTGCTTTTATTTCGTGTTTCCCTTTTGCAGTTCACCTTTGCATTCAAATGATTCCAATATGTTTGGAATGAGATCGCCTAAAAAGAGTTCAGAGACTGATGAAAAATATATTGGTAAGTGACTTAATGTGGCTTCTTTTACCTTTTGAACACTTTTCGAATGTGATTTTTATTTTAAAAATGGGCTTCATCATGAAAAATAACATTAGACAGTGTGAGTGGAATAATGAAATCCAACAAAATACTGACCATATTATGTACAACCGTGACAACTTCTGTAACGACAGAAGACTAGGGACAGACAACAGATCGTTTATTAAGAAAATCAACAGATATTTATATATTTTTATGTACATTATTAGTCGTTATTGTTAGCAGAGAAATGATGTCTTCTGATTGGTTGTCTTATTTCTGAAGGTTATTCTGTCATCTCTTTGTTGCCGCTTCTTAAACAGCCCGTTGATATATCTGCCAATCGTATCCTCCCACGCTAAGTCCGCTGTGATTGGTTGTTGATTTTCTCAAGGTTAAGCTTTTTTAGTGTTTTTCTCATCACCCTGATTTGGGACGTGAAAGTTGATGTCAATTGCTGTCTACCAATTTCGGCTAGCATACAGCGCTCACCACACTACAGTTTCTGTGTTCTAGTGTTCTCTCAGCTAGATTATTTAGTGGTAATGCTTTCCTTCAGAATTCGAGGCTGAAGATGTTGTCTACTAGCATAATGAAAGGTTCGCAAATTAACCATCCATTTGAATGGACACATCTTCGCGGTCATATAAAAATCTACAACACTGCATTACTTCCTCTTTAGGCTTTATGTGATGAATATAAATACTGGAATTTGTGAGTTCTTTGTTACTGTTACCCCAACACTCCCTCGAATACTGTTCCCACTCCAAGGAAAACTCAGGAGACTGACTCAGAAGGCAAAGGTTTATTACTTCTCCAATCCTAACGGTCTTGTTTACGTGTTATATAAATATACACAACAATCGGAGGCCAATTAGTGTCTCTCTTGTTAAGACAAGTTTTCAGTGATCAGCTTACTTGGAACTGAAAAGTAATGAGAATTAATCTCTTCAACTAACAGACCCTTTCAGATATGAATAGGGCTGATTCTGGATTTGCAGCCACTACCACTAAGTCATGTGGCAACCATATAACTGGTACGTTGTTGAGTTTTAGTGAATTTGTTGGTATCAGATGGTTGGAGGCAATCGGCAGGAAGCCCCGATTAACTCACCTAGGTTTCGTGTTAGTTGGCACTCATCATCAAGGTGTATCCGAAACCTCAAAAGAACTCATGTCCCTTCTGAGATTCGAACCCGCGTCAAGCAGTGAAGACTGCAATCAGAGACGTTACCACTGAGCTATACAGGCTCGCGACTTTAGTGACTTTATTTAGCCTTTATGGTTAGGTGAAGATTAAAGAGGTCAGCTATCTGTCGACGCTGTATGTCTCTTACCAGATGACATTGCATCATAATGTACCATAAATTACCATAACTGATTTACAGACGCTAATCAGCCCCAAGAATCAGGCATGCTACTTCCTGGTGACTATCACTCATAAGTGAACTTCAGGATAGCAAGTATGCCCTACTGATGAGTGCAGACAAGTACGAAACCTAGGTTCACGGCTTCCTGCTGATCGCCTTCAACTATCTTATGACAACAATCCTGGGTGCACTATGATTTCGAGCTACCTATCATGGTGGCCAAATTACAAGCTTAACTGTGATAGGATTCAGTCTGCAGAAAACAAACGACTGGACGCATGACGTTGCTCAGTGTCCAATCAAAGAACTTTATTTACCCTCAGTGAAAATCATAATATGACTAGATAATCTTGTTTATCAAGTGATTCTAGCCTTCTAGAGTTACAACTGAAGGAATAAGATCAATAAAGTAATATGTCTAGTTGGACTATACAAAATTGAAGTGACTTAAGTCTAATTATTCAGAAGACGTCAAATGATATGATTGGTCATTGGTTTTATCGACCGATTCAAAATACGCCCACACAATGATAAAACAACCAATCATGTAGTAGTAAGTTAAGCTACCAGATTTCTTTTTGTGAGTCCGTACTGGCAGTGATATCTAGGAACAGATTGATAGGAACGGGTTGATCTCTAATGAAATCTCAGAACGGATACAGAAAGCTCGTTTCGCAAATGCTAGTTTACGCCGTTTCTGGCTTAGTAGACGTGATATCCGGCTGGCTATCGACCAAGAGACGTGTTTACTGCGCAGCACCAATTTGATCTATCCTCCTTTATGGCTGTGAGATCTGGTTATTGAGAAAGGAAGACATGAAAAGGCTGGCTATCTGTCTTTGATCAAAGGTGTCTGCGCTATACCTCCCGTGTGAAATTGTACAATAGCGTAAGCAATATTGAGGTTAGGCATCGGTCGAGTGCTAGGTAAGCAGGGAAAATCAATAGACTAGGCTTTGAAGTTACACCGATTAAGATGGTTAGGACATGTGTTACGCATGCATCTCTAGCCATCGATTGCCTTCCTTGACGGGCAATGTTAGCTGGCTGACACAGGGTCAGGTTGGAAAAGAGCTAGCCAGTGGTGGTCAAACCAAAACATGGCTTCATCAGTCAATGAAATCCACAATAGTTAGTTTAAGGAAGTCACATAACGAGGTATCGACTGCCTGTCTACCTGGTTGGGGTCCTCGGGATGGTAAACACCAATGAAGGCTGGATACAATCGGTGATATGGCTAAAACTCATCGTTCTCAATGGCAGGGAGCAGATGCATTCACTCCTTGTGACTTATAATACCCAATAAAACTATATTGTTCTTCGTTATTACTATTCCTTTTGTCTCATATCTCTGTTTATTGCCTCTATTTTGCATTTCTTATTGCTTTCTTCTCTTGCACTGTGTGCTACATGGAGGGAGATTGGCGACTCGAACTGCTGCACATCGGTGCGGTGCAAAGTTTCATGTTGAAACCAGTCAGTCGGTGACATCTAGGATGACACTTAAACGACAGCTAAAACTAAAACTTTGGATAAAACATAAAGAAACTCTTCCTATTATTATAATTTGCATTTTTAAAATCAATATGATCACTATTGATCTGAATTATCGTATGATCAGTTAACAATAATTGTGGCGTCATTGCATAAAGTACATTTTTACATTCATTCACTCTTCTATGAATATGATTTATGCAAATCAATAAAATGTAAAAAAAATTCAATAAATCAATTTTCTCCCATTTTGATTCTTTCCTTGTTTTGTTTTCTTTTTTAAATTTTTTTAGATTATCTGCATCGATTTGATGTACATTATGTGAATGATCTATTAAGTGAATTCGATTGGTGTCTGGAAGTATTAGAGAGTCTCCAGTGTAAATGTTCTGTGAGCAGTTTAACTCGAATGAAGGTAAGAATTAAATGAAAGAGAGTTGATTGCTACTCTATCTCTCTCTCACTGTCTCAATAAGTATCTCATATATTGACATTCACACACAGTTTGGTAGTGAAAAGGATTGCCTGTCAATTTCATATTTATTTTCAAGTGTTGCTTTGCAGATTAGTTGAAATACGTTTGGATGACTTTAAACGTCTTGGTAATCTTGACTACTCTATCTATGTTCAGTATCCTGCGTTCCAAATGGAACATAGGTCTTCAACAACACATCTCCACTTTGCCCTATCTTCTGCCATCCTCTTCAGCTTGGACTACGGTTGCCCACAATCTCTTATCTCCACCTCACATGGTCGCCTCCATATCACCCTCGCACTGATGACCAACTGGCCGCTTCCACTCCAGTGATAGCCTGCATTGCATGCGACGTCATTTGATGGCTTCCTCAACAATATGCCCGATCCATCCATATCCACTTTCTCCTACATATTTGTTGAGCGATCGGTTCTTGCTTGTTGGTTTGTTCATCGCCAGAGTTTCTTGTTGCTAATTGCTTCTGGTTGGTCATTTGATCTTCAGTATGGAGCCAGCGAAGGGGGCAGCTTTTCATGAAAGTCTGCAACTGTCTGTTGGGAGTCCTTTTCGTGATACGCTGGCCAAGTTTCTGACCCGCAGAGAACCACTTCCGATTCTGGCTGGTTTCCTTTGATGTCTTTGTTCGTTGCACCTGTAGTTGAAACGATGCTTACTGGCCATATAAATGAGTGAGGCAACCTCTGTCTAATCTCTCCCGTTGATAGTAATTGGTGCTGTTTGTTGTTCTTGCTGTTGTGGTTCCTTGGTTATCTTCATCACCTCCATCCTCTCTATGCTCACTTGGAGTCCTGTCCTCGCTGCCAGCCTCTTCAGCCAGTTTGTTGGTTTTCGCCTGTCTGTAAGTCTTCGAGTTTATGTGACATTAGACATATATCATCTGCGAAATCCAGATCTTCTTTAGTCTTCTTATCGTTCGTCCGGCGTATTCCTGACTCTTCGCCTCCAAAGCACAGTCTGACACATAATCCAATCCACCACAATTAAGAATATCATTGGTGGCAATAGGCAGCCAGCCTTATCTGACTTCTGTGTCTAATTCGAATGCCTCTCTGAGTTTTCCGTTGTGGATCACCTGACACATGGCACTGTCATATAGCCGGCTGTTGAATGAGGTTGACAAAGACTTGAGGTACGCCGTAGTGTTGAAGTAGTTTCGAAATTACGCAGAATTTTCCGAATTCGCAGAAGTCTGCGAATAATTTCCTGTTCTCATTCATTTCTCCTAGCGAGAGTCTTTCAACCCATGATGAGTTCTCTTCCTGTATTATTTCGTCCTAGTTTGGCATTCATATCGCCCATGAGGATTCCGATGTCACCAATCGGGATTTTGCTGTCCATTACTGTTTGTAGTTCTCTGTAAAAAACTTCCTTCTACTCTTGTTCAGCTCTGTTTGTAGCACTGTGCTTAGCATTGGATAATTATTGCCTTCCTTCCTTCGGAGTTGAATCTTGCTGTCATGATCCTGTGGCATGAAATTGATTCCCAACGGATTAGGGCTTTTGCAGCCATTGGTGATATCATGATAGTCACTCACTGTCTCAGTGTACTCGTGGTTGTCATCTGGTTGACCGGAGTAGATTATTGACTCTCCATTTGACAGTGTTGTCAATCCACATCCATTCCACCTGCGTTCGTAGATATCCAGTATTTCTAAGCCATATCTTCACTTCTATTTGGCTACCTGGGCAGCCTTCCTAGCCAGTCTTGTACTCTTTACGGAAATTCCACGTACCCATTTTTACTCTTTCTTTCAACCAGAGAAAATACATCGACTGACTGGCTTCCCGAGGGCTTGCACCAACTTGGTCATTTGAGCTCTTTTCCAGCTTGATACATTCTATGTCAGTGGCTAACATTGCCCGTTGTCGAGGAAGGCGATCGATGGCTAGGAATGCGTGCGTAACACACGTCCTAACCATCTCAGTCGATGTAACTTCACAGCCTCGTCTATTGATTTCCCCACCTTGCCTAGCACTCACTCGATTAATGCCTAACCTCAATATTCCTCACCCTATTATAACACCACATGATACGAGAGATAGAACGCAGGCACCTATGATCAAAGACAGATGGCTAGGCGTTTCATTTCCTCTACTCTCAATAGACAGGTCTCTCAGACATAAAAGAGGATGGAGCGAAATGTTGAGCAGTACACATGTCCTTTGGTTGACAGCCAGCCAGCTGGATATCACATCTACGTCAGAGACTGTGTAAACTGGCATATGCGAAATGAGCTTTCTGTATTCGAGCTGAGATTTCGTCAGTGATCAACCCATCGGCACTGGCTGATGCAATTGATATAAGAATAAAACTTATGCACTGTGGTAGAGTGTAATTCCATTATGGGTAAATTTTATTTTGATAAAGTCTCACAGTGTTATACAGTAGTGTTTACTGATGACGTTTCGAACGCAATTTATTGCTCATAATCACCTTGATATGACTATGAGCAATAAATTGTGCTCGAAACGTCATCAGTAAATATTACTGTATAACACTGTGAAACTTTATCATAATAAAATTTACCCATAATGGAACTGGCTGATGCAACTCCCTAAATAAGTGAAGTGGTCAACACGCTCTACCAATTCACTCCCTATTTCTAAGCTAGGAGTGAGTCAGTGTAACCCATTCCTGTAGTATCATCTTATATTTGACTGACAGGAGCAAATCGCATGCCAAACATTTGAAAATTGCAGCTGAAGGTGCTCACGTCGGAGGAAGGACTATATCATCTGCATATTCTAAGTCAACAAGACTACAGTCCCCTGGTAACAAGTCAATCCCTGAGTCGCTGAAGACAGCAGTTAGGGTTAAGTCCATTAGTACCTTTATGATACAACAATCTAATACTCGATTCTATATCATACACAGTAAATCAGAAGGAATAAAAAAAAGTTTATTATCCTTAGCACAAGGTCTAACTTCCTCTGGGCGTCTGGTTCTGAATGAACTAAATGATAAAATCTCAAACTATAAAAATGCAGAGAACAATGCTTCTTGATATTCAGAGTTCCTAGTATAAATCTTCATTATTATCTTGTCTCTAATCAACATTTAAAGATTTTCTTCGTATGGAAAAATTTCCAACTCCCTAGAGATTGGCAGACGCCTAGATAAGTAGTATAAGGCGCAATTCAGATCCGTTATTATCAAAAGACAAAAAAACGGACTAGACGGCAGGATTAAAGTAGACTAAAATTTTAATTATTGGCTAGAAAGGAAGTCGATAGAATTTGGTAATTTAGAAGAGAGAAGAGTATTCACAGGAGCAGAAATGAGAGAAATTTTAGAATTCTAAGTATAACGCTAAACTCTGCACAGCTAAATATGACGTAAAAGTTCCTACTAGTAATTAAATTTATTGATATTACTCAATTTTTAATCTCTTAAAACATGCCAACACCAAAGAGAATTTAATCTACCCTTTAATGATGCAAAAATTAAAAGGCTCCTATAAAATTTCACAAAACTTGGAGGATCTGGACTTTGCCGACGATATATATGTCTGATTTCCCACAAACTGGAAGATATGCAAGTGAGGAATAGCAACAAGTTGACAGAAAAAGCATCAATGATGGGAAGGACTTCAAGTGAACATAGAGAAAATAGAGATATATGATGAAGATTCCTGGCCAACAACAACAGCAGACAACAATCAGCATAAATGGGAGAAATCTGAAAGAAGCAACTTCCTTTACCTACCTATCTACCTACCTGGGAAGCATCGTTTCAACTACAGGCAGACGGAATTGACAAGGATATCAAAGCAAGTATCAGGAAAGCAAGGCAAGCTTTCATTACTCTCAAGTCTGTACGAAGATCAACACTCAGCACTCAGCATGAAAAATAAGATCCGGATTTTCAACTCTAATATGAAGTCCGTGCTACTTACTATGCGGATCAGAGACTTAGCCAGCGCGTCACGAAGGGCACTTCGAACAAACTATACACCTTCATCAACAGCTAACTGTCTTCGCTCAATACTACTCAAGATCAGATGGCCAGCCAGAAGAGATCAGCAACAAGGAGGGATCTCTGCAGTGAAAGAACCAACCCATCAGTAACCGATTGTGCAACAAACATGCAGGAAGAAATGGAGATGGATTGGCCATACTCTGAGAAAAACAAACCATCAAGTGAGTGATATAACATGCCAGGCCATTGCTTGATTGGAACCTGAATGGGAAGCGGCGAGGTGGTCGTCAGTGCGGGGATGACATGAAGGAGATGATGTGAAGAGGACCGAATGCAATGGAGACGTGTAGCTGAAGCCCAATGTTCCTCTAGGAACTAAAGAAAACAATAATAATAATAATATCTCATGAGTGAGTTGACATCGCTGAAATACAAATTCAGCATCTCTTCTAAAGGATACCAGAACTGAAGGAATATTATGATAAACTAATGGAGAAGTATACAGTTTCTTTTACTTTCTTTGAGATTATTCACAAATGAATAATTGTTACCCTGGATCCCTAATCGCCGAGATGAACGTAGAATCATCGAAAACAGCATAGAATGGCAGTCAAATCTCTTCCTTGATTTCATCACCCTTCAGAAAGCTTCCAGTAGTGTTGATTGAGAAGTATTTTGGAAACTGCATCAACACCATGGAGTGCTGCTTGACCTTCAGATAGGCGGCCACAGAGAGAATAACCTTCAGCAAGAAAACAACCAATCAGTAGACGTTGCTCCTCTGATAACAATAACGACTAATAATGTACATAAAAATCTATAAATATCTATTGATTTTCTCAACAGACGATCTGTTGCCTGGCTGTTGTCTTCTATCGTTACAAAACTAGTTAAGAATTTCTGAAGAATGCTTAGCATAATCATCTGAATAACGACATAAATGTTGGTAGAATGCAAAGTGAACACAAAAATGTGAAAGTGTTTTATTTTGCTGAGTGTTTTACAAAATTATTCAGTACATGAAATATTGTCTTTCAAACATACATTTGAATTCATCCTATTTTCCCGCCTCCTCTTTTGAAACTGCGCTACTTTCAAGTTGAAGAAGTATCGATGTATAAGTCGTAATCATCTGAATTGATAAAACTGCGAAAATCTTCACTAGACACTCCCACGCGTTTTACCGCCTTTAATCTCCCATAGATTTTATTCGAGTGAGTATAATCTGATTAATTATTCAGACGTATGTGTAGGTTAAGTTTTCGTCAATAATATACAATCACTGAAATTTTAATGTAGCCTCCATCATGAATTATTAAAAACCAAGGAGTGTTGGACAGTTATTTCGTCCTAGTTTGGGACTCTTCAATCAGCAAAACCCCACCAGATCTCGAACGCAGGAAATGCCATTCAAACACTTGGATGGGAATTCAGTGACCTGTGAACTCTGTCTCTGTCAATTCTTGATACATATAGCTGCAGCCAACAGATGGCACTGTTGAGGATCCACTACGCCTTGACATGATGGACCCCACTGGTTATAGCTTCTCAGTACAGCTTTAGAACATCCACCTAGTAGGCGCTAATGAGCTGGGGGATTTGTGTTTTGTAGGGGTTTGAACTGTCTTCAATCTGATGTTGGTTCTTTAAAATACTAGCGTTGCAATTAATCTCGTAATCAAAATATCCATATTACTTCACAAAGATACCTGGCTATCCTATAACCATTAAAGTGGATGCAAAAGAGAGACTATTTTTATTATATTAATCCCTTGCGTTCCAAGTGAAACATAGGGCTTCAACAACACATCTCCACTTTGTTCTGTTTCCTACCGTCCTCTTCAGCTGGGTCCACGATTGATCAGACTCTCTCATCTCTTCCCACTCACACGATCTCCTCCATGTCACCCTTGTACTGACGACTCACTCGTCGATTTTCATTTGGATTGCACTCGAGCGATGATCTGCATTGCACGCAACTTCATTCGGTGGCCTCCTCAATGTATGCCGAATCCATCTCCACTTTCTCCTACATAATTGTTGAGCGATCGACTCTTGGTTGGTTTGTTCCCAGCCAGAGTTTCTTGTTAGTAATTGTTTCTGGCCAGCCGGCCATTTAATCTTCAGTATGGAGCCAGCAAAGTGGGCAGCTGTTGATAAAAGTCTGTGACAAGTGTTTGAAAATCCTTTTCATGACACGCTGGCCAAGTTTCTGACCAGTATAGAAGGACCGACTTGACATAAGTGTTGAAAATCTGAATCTTGTTCTTTATACTGGCTGAGTGCAGAAGATTTCCAAACTGGTTTCAGGTTATTGAAGGTGTATCTTGCCTTTCCGATTCTGACTGGCTTTTACATCTTCGTTCATTCCGCCTTTATTTGAAACAATGCTTCCTAGCCAGATAAGTGAAGTTAGGAAGTAACCTCTGTTAAATCTCTCCCGTTGATGGTGATTGATGCTGGTTGTTGTTGTTGGTTGGTTGGTTATCTTCGTCACCTTTCTCTTTTCTGTGTTCGACTGCAGTCCTGTCTTCTCTGGCTGCGTCATCAGCCAGTCTGTTGGATTTTCGCTTGCGAGTCTTCGAGTTTCTGTGACATTAGACATATATCATCTGCGAAATCCAGATCTTCTAGAATATGATAGTATGTAGTATTGATTAGCTAATATGATCATTTGGAAATTACTCACATTTGTCAATTTCGTTTGCTATGCACATCTGACTGAATTGTAGATTTTCCCGTCGATTGATTGGACTGAAGTGCTCGGTCTCAGGTTGACATGTCGGCTTCTTGTGCATATGTATGGGCATATAATTAGAATTTAATTGCTGGATGGTGACTAGCAGTGCCATCCAGGATAACGCGCGTTTCACCGGTCCTATTTGGAACTCGTCATCTGGATATACCTGCATTCCCCAGTGAGTGATGATGTTCCCACCGAGGCTCGAACCCAGTGCCCATAATTTCAAACGCCAAAGCGTTATCCACTAGACCACTTGGGCCACGAGAGCCACCTCTTGTGCAACGGGTCATATCAATTATTTAATTGAATTTTAGATTTTCCCGTCGATTGTTTGAACCGAAGTTCTCAGGATTCCACTGCTAGTCACCATCCACCAATTAAATTCTAATTATATGCAGATCTAACTTATCTAAAACTAGATGGTCATTTTACTTGTTTAGAATCGAGGTCATCAGCGATGTAGCCCATTTCTGACTTAGCTCGAGAAGGCAGATCAGTTCAAATCACCAGAGTTCTGATTGGCTACTTGGAGAAACTGTTAAATACACTGAAGGTGAACTGTGTGACTTGAAAATGACAAATTTGAGTCACGAAAGCAACAGATACTTCATAGTCATAAGCGACTACATCCAGTTACCCAATACCTACCAGAGGGGGAGACTTGATGGTGAATATTTTAGATGATTGATGAATACACTTATAATCTGACCAATAACACTATTGGGATAAGATTTACTAATATGATAATAGTAAGAATATTATTCCTTTGGTTCTGAGTGGAACATAAGGCTTCAGTAGGACACTTCCATTTCACTTGGTTCTCTCCCATCCTTTTCACCTCGCTTCATGACTGCCCATAGGCTTTCGCTACCTCTTCACACGGTCTCCTCCATGTCATCAATGGACGACATAAATGTCGTTTCCCACTCAGGTTTTACTCCAAGGTCTATCACGTGATATTACTCAGCTATCTCCTTGGAGTTATCCAGTTTACCTCCATTTTCTGCAACATATTTATCAAGAGTATCATTGATGACATCTGGACAATTATGTCATTGACATTCAGGTATATTGCGTTTCAGAGAAACTTGGAGAATATGAAATTTCGACGAAATAACTGCATTAACATATACTCAATAGGAGAGCTGAAAGTTCTACATTCCTGACAGAATATAATAATAACTGGACACTATCAGAAAGTATCAGAACAAGAGTGAACAGCTAACCAGTACTCCTTAGTCTATGACAGTTCTATCGACATCGATTTCCGATAAGTAATATCATATAACAAATAAATTCACCACAAAATTTATAAATAGTTTTATGGTTTGATCACAAATAGACCTAATTTAGCAGAGAAGAGTTGAAATCCAAGGATTAGTGGACAGCTGTTTCGTCCTAGTTTAGCACTTTTCATCAGGACGCACCAATGTCCTACTAATTATAACCTCTGCCAGTTCCCCAAACATACAGTGAGTAATAACTATCATTATAAACACCTGGATAGACAACTTTTTAAAATTAGAGGTTAACTGGTGGATGGTGACTAGCAGTGGAATCCAGGATGACGCGCATTTCGTCCTGTTTGGGACTCGTCAGCTAAATGTACCTGCATTCCCCAGTGAGTGATGATGTTCCCACCGAAGAACAAACCCAAGACCCATAGTTTCAAACGCCAGAGTGTTATCCAATAGACCACTTTAGCCACAAGAGCCACCTCTTGTGCAACGGGTCACATTAATTATTTAATTGAATTTTTAGATTTTCTCGTCGATTGATTGAACCGAAGTGCTTGGTCTCAGGTTGATATGTCGGCTTCTTGTGCAGATGCTTCGACGATGTCTGAACATGTAATTCTAATGTAATTGGTGGATGGTGACTAGCAGAGGAATCCAGAATAACGAGCATTTCGTTCTATTCGGGACTCGTCAGCTGTACCTGCATTCCGCAGCATATGACGATGTTCCCACCGAGGCTCGAACCAAGTGCCCACAGTTTCGGTCCAATCAATCGACTGAGAAATCTAAAAACTTCAATTAAACAGTTTAAAATGTTTATTGAATACATTTACTAACCACTATTCTCTCCCCCACCCTTTTATTTCCACTTACTTTTTCACAGTTTCGTACTCTACTCAGTCAAGAATTAGCTGCATCATTCAATCCACCAGATAGTGAAATGAACAAAGAATCTTCAAAGAAGACATCAAACATTTCTTCTTCTGCTACCGCTTCTGCTGTTGCTGCTGCTGCCTCTTCACCCCTTGGTATTCATGCATCCGATGATTCTAAACAAAAATCATCAACGTCGTCTCCTTCACCAGGGGATCAAATCGACTATAAAATCTCCGGTAAAATGAGTCAAATGCAACGACGTAAACAACAATTCGCTAAGAATTCAACCTCACAAGTTTGTGAATACATCTGTAGAACATTTCTTGAAGAAGATGATGATGAAGATGAAGTGGTTGGTCTTCCAGGGGATACACTGTCTTGGAAATCAACAAGTGAAAAGTCCATATACATAAATAGTCCAAAGCTGAAACTTCGATTTGGTGATAAACTTGATGAAATGAGTGAAAGTAATGAGTCCGCAGACTCACCACCACCAGCAACTACGACAACAACAACTGAAACAAGACGAAGAAGTTCCACGTCATCATTACTACTAACAAGCGCAGCAGTAGGGACAACTGAAGCTGGAACAGTAATCACGGCTAAATCTACCTCTTCTTCATCCCCACAAACTGGTTTTGTGGATATTTTATCTTCAACTATTCAGCTGATCACAATGAATGTTGAACTAATTGATAATTCAAAAGTTGAGAAGGTAAGATTTGAAAAAAGGCGCTTTATTCAGGGTCATGTTTTATTCTGTTTGGGTGAGGGTAAAAGTTCTCCAGGGGTATTTTCGTGCTCGTGGTATAGCTAATGCCACAATAAATGTTCTAGCTGTGTAAACAAAGTTGATAACACACCCTTATTACTGCTAAACGTAACATATGACATGATTACAGCCTTCCTCGAAACATGTAATAAGAAATCACGTAAGACTAACTAACTACCTAAGGGAATTCAAATCTTAGTTGACGGTCTCTGTTCTGCTTATTCAGGTTAGCCTAAACAAAATCGCGGCAAGTATGTTTCGTTATAACTTATGCACTCACTGTCCTGTTCTTAAGAAATCCCTGAGATAATTTTGATGTGGTTGTGTTCTCTGAGCTGGCTAGATAATTTTCAATATGAATTGAAGTGAGGTTTTTAGATTTCTCCGCGAGTTTATTAGTCATCTCTCCTGGTGACCACCTTGAACGTTGTGATTGGTTGTTTCTGTGTATTTCCACACCTTCTAGGCTATTTGCATTAGTATTGGAACTGATTGTTTCCTTGACTTGAACTTTGACCATTTGTGTGTGAGGTTTCATTTTTATCGGTTGGTAAATTTTGTCTACCTTGATGTGTCTATTGATTGATGATTCACTGGAATACCAGGTTTCTAAAAATTCCCTAGCATTCTTGTTGTTTCCTCTGTCTAATATTTGAACGTTTTCCTAGTCGAATTGATGTCCATGGTTGTTTGTATGCAGGGAGGCGATATGAGCGAGGGAGTGGGGCTTATGTTCATGGATACGAAGTCAAAGGGGACATCGTCCACTTTGGCAAATGTAGTGATTTTCGCAGTTGTTACAATTTCTTTTGTAGATGATGTTGGTTTTATCTTCTTTCGTTGTTTAGTCTTTTGTTTGACACACGGCTGGCGGAGTGAAGCGATTTTGTTGGTTTGTGTGCGACGTCCTGCAGTGTGTGAAGAGTCCTGCAGTAATTTCTGAGATGCCCTTTATATATGGTAGGACGATTTTCTTTGTGCTTTCCTCAGGGGCTTTTGATTTGATAGGTTGGCCTGGGGATAGAGGTCTTTTGATGAAATTCCGTGGATATCGATCCATTCTTTTGGAAGACGTCCATGAGATATTTTTCTTCAATTTTCCTTGAGGTAAGTAGGAGTGCTGCAATGAGACCTGGCCCTCTTGAACAGTGTTGGATGGAATGCATAAACCTATGCCTAACAACGTGCTTCCAATTCAACGGCCAAATGTATGAACAAGTCAAAGGAACACGCATGCGATCGCCAATATCAGATTTGATTGCAGAAGCAGGGATGCAAAGGCTCGAAAACATAATCCTACCAAAGATCAAACACAAAATTTGGATACGTCACGTAGGCGACACATTTGTAATAATCAAAAGAAACGAGTTAGATAAAACTCAAAACCTGATAAACAACGTCTTCAACGACATCAAATTCACAAGAGAAGAGGAATCCGAGAACAGAATCCCACTTTTGGACGTTTTAGTAGAGTGAACAACCACAGAGGAATTAGAAACTCAAGTCTATAGAAAATGAACTCACACGGACCAAATACTGAATTACAACAGCAACAATCCAATAACACACAAATGGGATTGTATACAAACACTATTCAAGAGTGCCAGCCAGTTCTCATTGCAGCACTCCCATCTTAAGGAAAACTGAAGAAAATTATCTCATGGACGTCTACCAAAAGAGTACCATTTGTCAGTAAGATGTCTTTATCATCGGGAAATAGCTTTTAATGATTCCGATGATCACAGGATCTCATCATGAGCTGACATCGGTTAGAGAACCATTGGAAGATTACCAGAGAGTACTGGACAGCTGTTTGCTGTGTCATAGTTTCCGACTCTTCAGCAGTACGTAGCCACATCATGGGATTTGAATCTAGAATCTTCCAGTTACAAAACGAGCTCGTAGACCACTCAGCCACTGGGACCCCATCCAATGGCCAACCCATGAAATCCAGCTTCTGCCAATTCACCACATAGCGTGACCTGAACCAGCTAATATCATCGTTGGCAAGTATTTGTCCTCACACCCAACCTACTGTACCCCACCAGAACCCAGTTAAACACCTACCTGATTAGTGCCAGTCACCAGTGAGTGTCAGATTCTGATGATATCTGAAGTAGTTTCATTCGTCACTGAAGCTGGACTTTATCAAACAACATATAACTTTTTAAATCAAGCAACAGACACATTAGATCTTAGAAAATATTAAACATTAGACGGTTGCAGAGAAGGAAATTTTCTCTTCGACGAAGTTATCAACTAGTTAGTTGTACATTCATGTATATTTATAGTGAAGCTGGTGAGAAGGTCCCAGAACTATTTCAGCTCAAGGGTCAAGTCAATAAAATTGCAAATAAGGATTACGAAGCAATAATAAACAGGAAGATCGGATAGAAGCATAGTAGGATCATAATTACTGGGGAAATTTACTTTTTGTGCAATCAGAGATTAAAAATGTGGTAGCGACGCAAAATAAGCACGAAGTTCGGATAAAAAGAAGACTGATCATCAGTGATCATAAACTGACTTCATTCACTAGAGGACTACTGGAAACCAGTAGGGAGTATTGGAGATATGTTTCGTCCTTGTTTTGGACTCTTCACCAGTACGAACCCATCACTCCACCACAGACTAGCCGATCAATAGTCATGTTGTGTGATTTCAAGTGATTATGAAATTCTTTTGACACTTGATAAAATGGTCATTGAGTACCTAAGACATTCTCCAGTAATTGATGTCAGTTTAGGCAGTTAATAGACAGATCAGATTTATCAGATTTGAGAATTCTACATTCCTAGGTGAAAGTTCATCAGAGTTTCTACTAGCAACTTTGCTTGATATCAAGAAACTTAGCAAAATCCCCCGACTTCGGGGGATTAGAATTGACTTGGCTTTCTGAGTTACGTCAGTCTGGTTACATCTCTGATGAGCTCATTAACAAACGAGTAAAACTGTGGTGAGAGCCGTCTGTAACCCAAAACTGTAGACAACAATCTACGCCAATGTTTACTTCCCGAATAGGGGTCATGAGAAAAAACAAGAACAAAGCTTAACATTGAGGAACTCACCAGCCAATCACAGCACATTTAACGCAAATATATGGCTTAACTTTCTAAGAAACAGCCACAAGCAGTACAGAATAAGCTTCAGCAAGAAAACAACCAATCAGAAGAGGTTGCTTCTCTGCTAACATAACGCTAATCATAATGTACATAAAAATCTATAAATATTTTCTGTAGTTGGTTTGTAAGGGTTAGTTTTGTTTTTACGAGTTGATCACGGATTGATATCAGTTAGAGAACCATTGACAGCTGCTTCGTCAGTCTAGTTTGGGAATCATAGGCACTACTTTCACCCACCCTACGGGGGGTTCGAACCCACTGCCTTCCGGTTACAAGGCAATCCGTGACCAACTCATAAAAATAAATATAATACTTAAAAACCAACAGTTGAAAATTAATCTGATGCTCGCTAGTGACCTGCTACAGGATGGAGTTTCCTGGAGTTCTAGTGAGATGTCTTAACCAGTGACGTCCATCCAGTCAAGTGTGTGAGGATGGATTTCCCACCAACGACATTGGTTGGTGCTTGTCGCGCTAAATCACGAAACGGTAGAAGTTAGAATTCATGCACTGGCAATTGAATCGGGTCCCAGTGGTTGAATGGTATACGAGCTACCCTTCCTTGTAACCGGAAGGTTCTGGGTTTGAACTCCCAGTAGGCTGGGTGCGTACCGCCGATGATTCCTAAACTAGGATGAAACAGCTGTGCAGTACTTCCTGTGGGTGGTTTTCAATGGTTTTTTAACTGGTATCAATCTGCAATCAACTCATAAAAACTATAAATACCTGTTGATTTTCTGAATAAACGATCTGTTGCCTGGCCCTTGTCTTCTGTTGTTACAATATGAGTCACTGAAAGACTTCGTACTTTTGACATTCATTATGATAATTCATCCAGGTATGAGGTAGCAAAGACATTTCAGATGCTTCAACTAGCTCATTTATTTAGAGGTTTTTTCCTTTTGACTATTCTTTGCTTTTTAAATCTCGATTTTTGCAGTTCATCAGAGATAATCAATCGACTCTGGCACCAGATTTATTTCAATTAGACCAGATTTCTAATCATCATCCTTTGAGTACACTTGGATTTTATTTATTTATGGTAAGTTAGTGAATTTAATTATTGTTTACAATTATTTGAATATGTTTAACTTTTTTATACCCAGAACAAATATCTTACATGCCATAGTGAGTGCAAAAATTATTGAGTTAAGTAATTCCATATTAGTTTGTTTATTAAATGTATCACACACAGTGAGTGTAACAGTATTATTAACTGGATGACACAGTTTTGAACACAATTCATTATTGTTCATAATCATATCAACTGTAATCACACGACTTTGACACTTGAGTTTTATAGTTTTCTTTGTTCTCTCCCATTTGTCATCGTAGGGGTAGTCGAATTTTCCAGATATCCAACTGGACAGGTGTTGAATCATTCCTACTACACGTGTCGGTTTGCAGTTGATTCGACAAACAAAGCTTCTGTTATCAATCTCTCCCTGCACCCTACTGTTAAATTAGATTTTAAAATTGTCATCTTATCCCATCCCATTCTATGGATGGCTGAGTTTAATTGCATGTAGTGTAGTGCTATAGCTGAACTATTCTCTAGATTTTTTATCTTATTCGGGTCAACCAATCTAGATTTTGCTAGGTTTTTATGCTCCCTTAGTCTGACTAACTGCACCTGTTCTACTACTTTGACCTATGTATTTGACGCGATAGTCATTCAAGCAGGGTATTAGATGAACTAAATTGTTTGTTTAATTGGCTCCACAGGATCCTTTAGCTAACAGAGCTTGTTTCTAATTGAGTTTGTGGAGTGGTCTGAATGCCGGCCACTTTTATTCCTGCCTCATTAAGAATTCTTCGTAAGGTTTCTGAGGTTCCATCTTTGTATGGAAGTACTACTGACGATTTATATCGTGTTATTTATGTTATCAGTATCTTGTGCATGTTTGACATGCTTGTCAGTCAGACTAGCCGAGCATAAAAACCTAGCAGCAAAATCTAGATTAGTTGACCCAAATAAGATAAGAAATCTGAAGAATAGTTCAGCTATAGCACTCACCACATGCAATTACACACAACCATACAATAGAATGATGGGATGGGATAAAATGACAGTTTTAAACTCTAATGTTACAGCATGGTGGAGGGAGAGATTGATAACAGAAGCTTTGTTTATCGAATCAACTGCAAACCGACACGTGTAATAGGAATGATTCAACACCTCTCCAGCCGGACATCTGTAAAATTCGACTACCCCAACGATGGCAAATAGGAGAGAACAAAGAAGATTATAAAACCCAAGTTTCGAAGTCGCGTGATTATAATTGGTGATATGATTATGAAGTCATAAATCGTGTTCGAAACTGTGTCATCCAGTAAATAAAAATACTGTTTCACTTACTGTGTGATACATCTAATAAACAAACTAATGTGGATTTACTTACTATCACAGTGCCCAAGTCTTACACATAAATTATTGAGTTAAGGATTATGAAAACAATCAGCTGTTTAGGCTGAAGTAGGTTGAGCTGGATCCCAACCCGAGACCCATCCAGTGAAAGTTAATGAGCTGTTATGATCTATGTCACTAATTTTTTATGGACCTAACGTCAGTTGATATGATCATGTCGACAGTTGATGTGACAGAGTGGAATTATGCGTGGCTGTAACGGACAGCTCAACTGATATGCTATATACGCCGCCTATTCGTCCGTGGTACCTTCTGCTTCATTGAGCCGCATAAATATCAAAAGACAAAGACTGGCCTGTAACTGTCAGGATACAGTTTTATTAAGAAAAAGAAAGTCATATTTATACATATTTTTAACCATATAAGAATTGGCCTAAGGCAGTGAAAATAAATTTTTCTGATTGGTAGGCAAGTGGGCTAGGTCGGAGAAAAATAAACATGCTGATTGGCTGGAGATTTGACCAAGACAAAGGTAAGGAAAAAATGGTGAAATTTCACAGTCATTCGATCACACGATGAATCATACGCTGATTAGCGTTTTAAATCGATTCCTATCATGAGCTCCATACGTATATGTGAATTCGCCTACTGTAAGTCATTTTTTTCCTCCGTTCTCAAGTTACAAATTCAAAGATTAGAGACTTAGTACAACAGTAAACAGCACCTCTCAATATGGAAGGTCACATAGCTGAACAGAAACGATAAGCAACAAGGAACTCTGGGAGACAGTCATTCAGTCAGTTGAGAAGCTACTGCCCAAAAAGTTTGCAGAAGGATGAAGCGAACATACCCTGAAGAAACATCCAAATAACATCACACACCAAACTATGGACTAGGATTCGAATAGGAGGCCATAATTTCTATGTCCAAGGATGAGTCAGACGGGATCATATGAACAGAAAGTGAAAGTTTGTCGGAAGTCATGAAACCGAAAATGTCGGCAGAGAATAGTTCACAATGGAGATGGAGTGTTAAAGACCTATATTCCACTTGGAGGAACGAATAACTTTCAGATTGTAGGATTTGCAGGGATTTTGGATTAATTTTAATGGTTAAATTTCCACCGCCAATCAATATCAGTTGTAGAGCGCTAAACTACTGTGTCGCCCCTTATTTTGACACTTTTCATCAGTTAGCAACCACGACTCCACCAAGTATCTCTCAAATGTCTTTCATCCCAAATTATGAACCGCTCTTGCCTACTTCTGTACTTCATTTCTAGTTTCTCTCTGTCGCCTCCATTCACAGGTGCTGTTTTAATCACGTCACTCGGTGACACAGTATTACTAGCCTCTACAACATTGGTATCACTCGAACGGAGTGCTGAAATCACTTGAGCTACACTTTGCCAATATTCAGAATATTCTTGATGCATCTGAGAGAGATGGGAACAACCAGGATCCTATTGCTCAGCAAATGTCCAGAAGTAAATAGAGATGGATCGAACAAGCGTTAAGGAAACTATCGAATGACATCGCGCTCCAGGCATAACCTCGAGTTGAACCCGAATGTGAAACGATGAGTTGGGCGTCACTTTGAGGATGATGTGGTGGAGCGACTATGGGGAGTCATGGGGCAGCTGAAGAGGGTCTAGGAAAACAGGAAGAAGTGGACAAATGCTGCTAAAGCCCTATGTTTCGCCAGTAACCCGAGGAAACAACAACAATAATCCTGGTATCAAAACAAAACTTACCTAAGAGATGATGATGACAAATTTATTTGAATACGCGAGAGTGGCCTAAACTTCCTAGTCACTAGGGCCTCCACAAACTTAAGGATGGAGGTGAAAACATCGATTTCATCCTCTGTAACTATGGTATGCTTCTCAATGGAAGCGGTAGGCTGGCTATTTTCACCGTTAATGTGTTTCGAGGATTCGATTTGCTTCAGAAACACTTTACAGATATGCTCAGAAGCACTTACTTGCAGAGTTCGACTGATCTGTGGTGAGAGCAATCTGCTAGCTAAAATTGTAGACAACAATTTGGGTCAATGTTCCACCCCGAATCTGGGTCATGAGAAAAAAACAATAACAAAGCCTAACCTTGAGGAACTCAACAACCGTTCACAAAACACTTAACGTGTCCAAATACGATTCTCAGATATATGGCCTGACTATCTAAGAAACGGCCACAAAGAAATGACAGAATAACCTTCAGCAGGAGAACAACCAATCAGAAGACGTTACTTCTCTGCTAACAATAACGCTGATAATAATGTACATTAAAATGCATAAATATCTGTTGATTTCCTCAATAAATGATCTGTTGCCTGGACCTTGTCTTCTGTCTTTACAGATCCTTCCTAGTTTTTGTTATAATTTAATTTTAATTTTGATTGGACCTTGAAACCATACAGTGTTTTTGGTACAGGTATCGAATTTTCAGCATGTGATATCGGTAGCCCAAATTTAGCAGGCCGACCATTGATATCGGGTGTGCGTCGGCCTGGGATCGAACCCTGGACCATGTGCATGGTGGCCGAGCGTCCTCACCACTGTGCCACCGACGCAGTATTCAGTTGTGTTGATCTGTCAAGAAAGCAGGACCTGTTAAACACCTTCATAGTGATTGTATGAATAGATCTTACATAACGATATAATATTTAGGTATAAAGCGGTATCAAGAGGTCGAGTGATAAACTTCTTGAGATCTAATAATTATTCATCAAGCGTTTGTATATGATAGAGAAGATTTGTAGCTCAGCACATCAAAATCAAGCGTTTGTATTTATAAATGTATAACTGCCATATGCCTTACATTTTTCACATCAATCTACTCTGTTTCCTCTTCTTTCTTTTATTTTACAGAAAACCAATTTATTACAAAAACTTTCTATTCCTCCAGTAACAATGTTACATTGTCTTAGATGTATTGAATCCCGATATAATCCCAGTGCTCCGTTTCATAATTCAATTCATGCCTTGGATGTTCTGCATGCAACTTATCAGCTGTTTCAATGTAATAATTTAAAAGTAAGTGTAACTGGTAATTGTATACAAATAGTTAAAAAGAAATGTATGACTAATTCAGTAATTATTATTCATTGTCACTCCCTTTGGCTCTGAATGGAACACAGAGCTTCAATAGCATATCTTCATTTCATCGTCTTCTCTGAAGTCCTTTGTTTCTACCTGGCCCCACAACTGACCATAAGCATTCATCTCCTCCTTGTCACTCTCAGATCCACATCCAACTTGCTGTTTCCCATTAGAAGTGCACCTGATGACATGACGTGTGATGTTATTTGGATATCTCTTCAGGGTATTTCTAATCCATTAACATTTCCTTCTACATATGTGTTAGGAGGTTCCTTGTTACTCTTCCTCCTGGAGGGCTATCTAATCTTCAGTAAGTTTGCATCAGCCTGCTGGAAATCGTTTCGGTGACCCGCGTGGTCAGTCTCAGAACCATAGAGAATCGCTGATTGGCTTGACATTATTGCAGTAGATTTCCACGATCTTAAATGGCTTTGACGTCTTCATCTATACTGCCGACAGTTGAAATGATACTGCCGAGATAAATGAAAGAAGTGACCATCTTCAAGTTTCTCTCACTGGTAGTGATTGGTACTTGTTGTTGCTGGTCGGTATTTAATGGCAGAAGATAAGGGCCAGGTAACAGATAGTTTATTGAGAAAATCAACAGATATTTATAGATTTTTATGTACATTATTGTCAGTGTAAATTGACTGATTGATTATTTTCTTGCTGAAGGTTATTCTGTCATCTCCTTGTGGCCATTTCTTAGAAAGTTAAGCCATATATCTGCGAATCGTATTTGCACACGTTAAGTGTGCTTGTGGTGAGAGCTGTCTACTAGCCAAATTGGTAGACAGTAATTTACGTCAATATTTACGTTCCCAGGATTTGTCGTGAGAAAATGTGAACAAAGATTGATTCAAAACCGACCACAGCAAACTTTGCGTAGGCGGATGCAGTTAGCATATAGAGGATGTGACATTCAAGAAACAGTCACAAATAGATGAAAGATTAACTTTACGTGAGAAACAACCAATCGGAAGACTGTGTTTGTTTGCTTAAATATCCATAGTAATGTACATGCAAATCTATAAATATGCTTTGATTTCCTTAATAAACGATCTGTTGCCTGACTCTTGCCTTCTGTCGTTACATGCTGATATTGGTTGATGATTTTCTCAAGGTTAGGCTTTGTTCTTGTCTTTTCTCATGACCCTGATTAGGGACGTGAACATTGACGTAAACTGTTGTCTACAATTTTGGCTTGCAGACAGCTCTCACCACAGGTAGATATCTTTATCACTTCAGTAATATTAAACAGCTAATCTTTCTGTCAGTCATTTAACCTTAGACCACAGCTTGTTAGGATTATGTGATACAGTCCCTTGCAGTATAACATACAGGAGATGAAGCTGAAGTCGATAGCGGTATCACACCATCCAACTAGTATAAGTGTAGAACTTGGGCAGTGTGTCGTAGAATATATTTCCACATTAAATAAGTTTATTTTAATTATCACACACAGTGATTGACACAGTTTTAATAACTGGATGGCAAGGTTTCCAGTATAATTTACTACTGCTCATAATCATATCAGTTTAGACATACCGCTTCGTAATTTGTCTTATGTATATTTCCATATCTCCGGTAGGTAGGCATTGAGTCATTCCGATTCCACGTGTGTGGTGTTGAATCGACAAACAAAGATTCAGTGAATAACCTCTCTTTATCCATCCAAATATATTACTTTTTGATACTCTCAGGCTGTCCCACCCACACGTTTGTATAATTACATGCAAGTAAATGCAGTGCAATGACTGAGCAGTTTTATAGGTTGGTTAACTCAGCAGGAGGCTTAAGGACCCAATAGATCCAGTTAAGAAAAATAATATAATTTACCAAATACCATGCAATGACTGTGAGGTCTATTACATCATAGGTCAAACTAGTAGATTTTTTTCGATTATACCTTGGTTCCACAACTTATTTTAGTAAAGGTATGAAATTTTCAACATATGATATCAGTAGCCCAAATTTTGCAGGCCGATAATTGATATCAGGTGTTCGTCAGCACTTGATCGAACCCCGGACCATGTGCATGGTCGGTGAGAGTCCTAACCACTGTGCCGCCGACTCACAGGACCAAATAGATTATTGGAACATAAAAATTTAGCTGGACCTAGAATAACTGACCCTGCTAAGTTAAATGACCTAGAAGGGTGCTCAGTCATTGCACTGCATTTGCTTGCATGTAATCACACAATAGTAGGGTGGGTGGGACAGGGTGAGAGTATTAAGAAGTAATATAGTTAGTTAGGTTCATCCTGAAGAGAATCAAACATGCCCTGGATGAAAAACGTCGACCAGAACAGGCTGGATTCAGGAGAAACAAGTCATGCATTGATCAGATCGCCACATTACGGATCATCATTGAACAAAGCTTAGAATGGAAGTCACCCCTCTATCTCAACTTCATCGACTTTGAAAAGGCCTTCGACAGCGTCGATCGAGAGGTGCTTTGGAAACTACTTCGCTACTATGGGGTGCCACCGACAGTTATACACCTCATCTAACAGCTGTACGATAATGCTGCATGCTAAGTGATCCACAACGGGAAACTTACGGAATCCTTCGAAGTGAAGAGAGGAGTAAGACAAGCTGGCTGCCTACTGTCTCCAATGATTTTCCTGATTGCAGTCGCTAGACTGGATAATGCGACACATAGCGGGCAATGAGGGAACAGGCATAAAATGGACTCACACAAAAAACTTGTAGGATCTGGACTTCGCCGATGATGATATATGTCTGATTTCCCACAAACTGGAAGATATGCAAGCGAAAAGCAACAAGTTGGCGATAGAAGAAGCATCAAAGATAGGACTTCAGGTGAACATAGAGAAAACAGAGGTGACGAAGATTCCTGGACAACAACAACAACAGACAACAATCAGCATAAATGGGAGGAACCTGAAAGAAACAACCTCCTTTACCTACCTGGGAAGCATCGTTTCAACTACAGGCGGACGGAACTGACGAGGATATCAAAGCAAGGATCGGGAAAGCAAGACAAGCTTTCATTACTCTCAAGTTTGTGTGGAGGTCTACAACACTCAGCATCAAAACGAAGACAAGATCCGGATTTTCAGCTCCAATGCGAATTCAGTCAGTGCTACTATACGGATCAGAGACTTGCACTGCGCGTCATAAAGGGCATCTCAAACAAACTACAGACCTTCATTAACAATTGTCTTCGCTCAATACTCAAGATCAGATGGCCGGTCAGAAAAGATCAGCAACAGAGATCTCTGGCTATGAGCGAACCAAGCAGGAACCGATTGTTAAACGAATATGCAGAAAGAAATGGAGATTGATTGGCTATACTCTGAGGACAGGCCATTGCTCGAGTGGAACCCCAATGGAACGGGAAGCGGCGAGTTGGTCGTCAGTGCGAGGGTGACTTGGAGGAGGTCATGTGAAGAGGAGATGAAAACGTGTGGGCAGACATTGAGCCAGGTGAAGACTCTAGCAGAGAACCGAACGCAATGGAGACGCACGGCTGAAGCCCTATGTTCCTGTAGGAATTAAAGGAAACAATAATAATAATAATACTCTATTAACTGAAGTCAACTTACAGGTAATCATTCTAACAATTAAGCATCAGCCACTTTTTACATTTTAATGTGATTAGAAGTGCAATGAGAGAATATCTGTCCAGTAAGGTAGTGTAGTGAAGATAATCTGACAATTGTATAACATTCATTGATATGTTGAGTGAATGAAGCATTCAATGCCCAAAGCATACTTCAGACCTGATAATGGACCAGGTCTGGTTTCCTTTCTTGCATTTTTTATTTGCTATTCAAGTGCAACATAGGGCCTGGAAGTTTCAGTAACAGTTGTATTGTGTGATGTGTCTAGTCCTTTCTTTGATACAGACTGAATTTTATCAGTCAGGTTTACAATGTGGCCACCATTCTAGGTAGCTCTCCATCACGGTGCACATTGATTTGATAATATTAGATGGTGGTTGGAGGCAATCGGCTTCCTGCCGATAATCAAGGCAGCAACCCAGAGGTCATTTGATCGAATGATGCAATGACTCACTTTTCAGTTTCAAAACCAGTCAATACTTGATAATGTATATAAACGTACATAAATGGATACGGAGAACTACTGGTTATCAGCGTCCTTACCAATCAGTACCGATTTAATATTCCAATCTTGCATTCGATCTAATTCAAACGAATAACTCCTGTATAAGCTTTCTTTAGGTTTCTATTGTTTCTTCTTCCGTCTGTTTTTTTCTGAGTTCTTCAATGTACAGCTAAATATGACTTCTGCTTGGAGAGATTTTACATTATATACTACTCATTCATCTGCTAATTAGTAACACACTTCACAAGTGTTTTGCGCGACAACGTCTACGAGCTGTGTATGGTTAAAACATGAATGCATGGAAAGAGATAAAGTAATGCAATTTCTAGGACATATAGTTATTTAAAAGCATTCCATAGGGAGTTCTTAGACAAGGTAATTGACTATCAAGACTGTCTCTAAGACAAAACAAACCATCGTCAGAACGCCAAAAATGCGCAGAAACATAGTAAAGAGGTGAACATTTTAGACTGCAAAAAACTGTTTAAGACAACCAACTAAAATAAGCACACTATAGCCAGAGAATGGATTCATTACACAGTTAACATAATCAACAAAATAAGATTCGAACAAAAAATAAATAAATAACCAAGTTGATATGGTAGCAACATGGAAAATGAACTAAATTTTGCTGGCTACTCGTAAGTAGTATAAACTAAAAAGCAAAATATTTTGTGAATTAACTGTAAATATATGTCGTGACTGAACGCCAATGTTTCAGGTCCAGCTGATTTTCCCGTGTCACATTGAAGTAATTCTACGTATTTACAGATTTCGGTAACAGTAGAGCTGGCCATACACGCAGTATTGATATTCAATAATTGTCTGCTGAAAGGACT